TCCAAACGGAGAACACACCATCCATGCATGCGATGTAACAGTAGCTCTCTCTCTCTCTCTCTCTCTCTCTCTCTCTCTCTCTCTCTCTCTCTCTCTCTCTCCCTCTCTCTCTCTCTCCCTCTCTCCCCCTCTCTCTCATTCAGCAGCAATGTCCCCTGACAGAGCTGACTCCCTTCAACTCCTGAGCCGTGCATCTGCCTCCAAACTAAATTCAAACTTATAGAAAGAGAAGAATTCACAAGCAGCTGGCTGCCGAGTCTTTTCTCTGTCTTTCAGAATAATGTGACAGTGACAGGGTGTTAACAGGAATCAGAAAACGCTTGTAATGTTTCACCATGCTTTCAAAAAAAAAAAAAAAAACCTACTGTATTACGAGGAATAGTTCTGGTCAATGGAAGGAAACAGTGGTTTTAAATGTAGAAACTGAGCACCAAATGCCCCAATTCTTATCAGAAATGGTTTAATATAGAAGTTGATACCTGCATATAATGATGTGTTTGAGAGCACAAAACTTTTATCAAATCATAGAGGATAATGTATTTGGCAGCTGTTCATTTTTTTCCAGATGTTCARTGAGATATATGTCAAAAGGAAAAAGCTGAAGGACTATATGTTTAGGTTATTCCAGTAATAAAATTTACACTGTTTTTTGTTGTACTTTTTAGGTTCAATTTGCTGAATTTACACAAAAATAACTCCTTTTTGTCATCAAGGTTTTATGTTTGCACAACATAGCAAAAAAARAGAGATGTCTTACCTGAACAACCCAACACACTATGTACAAATATCTCAACAGAAAGTCATAAATCCATCCATCTTTCTACTTATGCTGATCCCATCCATGCAAGTCTGAATGTGGCTGGAAGAGAGAAGTCCTGTGACTCTGCCTCCACACTTTGATGGCAACAGTCCAGTGACTCAGACAGAACCGTCAAGCCGGAGACAGGAAAATAAAATTTAAAGCTCTTTTCAGTTCCACCTTTTGAAAGCCCACTGCTTCACCTTGAGGAGGAGCCCCCCGCTGACACTGAATTCATTTGCCACCCTCTCGCATTTACGGGCACGTGTGGAGTGCTCCTTAATTAACTGTAGTGGAATCTCTTCTCCCACCGTCCGCATTCTTCCGGAGAGAGGCAGCCTGCGAGCAGCGGCTCTCTCTGAGTCCCTCCTCAGCGAGCACTGAGAGACAAATGCTCCCGTACAGCCTGGCTGAGTGTAAAAACTGTATCACATGTCTTAAAGCCAGACTGCCTCTGGATTGGAAGGCAGAGTGGGACTCCGTTTGATCATGTGCTTCTGATAATTGCAAATCACAGAAGCTGCTGACCAAATGAGTTACTATTTCTTTTACATTTAAATAATTGATGCAAGCATATATTTAGGTAATTAAAAGTAAACCCAAGAAAATAAGGCAGAAAGTCTTTTAATAAAACAAATGGGAAAGAAAAGCATCAAGCCCTCAGCTTGTTTCACTTTTACTAACTGACAGACTGAATAAAACTGGTGGGAAAGAAAAACATTTTCTCAAGAAGAGTGGAAAAATAACTAGAAAAAAAGGATTGTGTTGTGAAACAATAGTCCGCTCGTAAACAGGTAATCTTGACCTGCAGAAAGGAAGTTCTTCAGTTTCGGAGCTATAATGATGAGTCTATGAAAGGCAGGAAGGTGAGTGCTGGTATTTGAAGTAAATAAGCAGCATACTGTATAAGTGGGGAAACAGCTCAGTCGTCGCTGTTTTTCTGTCACCTTTACTGCATGGTGAGCGCTTGTTTGGAATGATTTTTCTATCACTGGCACGGAGAACATACCCATGGTCTGCAGCTCGCACTGCAATCTCCACGGCATAAAGACTTTGCATTTTATTTTGATGCTTGCTCGGGAAGACAGGGGTGCATTCTCGGTTCAGAATACCCACGGCGAAGCTACTCTACAACACCGCATTAATGTCTGAGAGTTTGGCAAGAGTGTGGAGCGGATTGGGACATGCTGTACTAGAGAACGTTAAATCAACATAAACTGCTGACTTGTTTGGAGAGGAATACTTTTCAAAGATTGTTTAGTCATTAATTGTTTGTAGATCCCAGTATCCTATAGGCTTTGTGTTTTGACAAGAAGGGACTGAGATTTGTTCAAGCCATCTGTTTCATGGGGAGTTTGCTCAGAAAACACACAAAAAAGACTATTTGCTTTGTCCTAAACACAGAAGTCAGTAATATTGTGGTTTTGTAAAACACAGATGACCAATGGTCAATGGTTCTGCACAGGAGTGATGAAGTAAAAGAGCAAAACGGCAAATAAAGAGAAGATTGAGGAGAATTTCCATCYACCAGTTTTCTTCAACTTGCCTTTTCTTTCCAGGTGACAGAACAGCTGGTGCTTATCTCCAGCAGCCACTGTGCAAGGGTACTGGTCAGATTAAGTCTATCGCAGAGACATTGAGACAAATAAGACAAATGTTCATGCTCTTATACGTAGGGACTAATTTGACTTACCAAATAACTTGACATGCATGCTTTGGTTTGTGGCAGGAAACTCAGGAGGTGGACCCATAACCTTGTGCTGTAGGGCGACAGGTGTAACAACTGTGCTGCTGTACCACTCCGTAGAATTTCAATGGCTGTGACACGAGGCAGGTGTTGTCAGGAGCAACAATAGGAGCATTGCAACCAGATAGCACGGACCATATCTGCTCTTGGAAGATGAATGGGGTTGGTCCTGGTCATAAGAAACTTGTTTGGTGTTTAAATACAACTTTAATCCTGGCCATACCAGATGATGCAATCTTGGGGTTTAATGCAAAACCACACGTTGAAGTTGACTGGAACAAGGTACTGAATGTCTTCACGGCCCCATTACGCTTCTTACTTTTGCAGAGGATGTGTTTTTGATAGTGTTGGTTTAACTTGCTGTCTGTCTATGTGTCTATATTTATATGGTTGTCACAAAGAAAAACTCATAAAATTCTGGTGGAGATCTGATAATATCTGCCAGATACGCATACCTGGCTCAAACAGAAACTGAAACGTCAAACTTCGAACAGAGCCAGAGGCTTCTTTTCACAGATGTTGTCATGTGACAGCCAGTCAGCAACCAGCAGTACTTTGTTCCACCAATCACAGCTCAGCAGCTGCACACTCTYATTTACATAACCTAAAGTCTTGGCGGAGCTGTGCACACTGAGTTCTAGTTAACTGATTGAGGAAAAATTAAAAACTCTAAACATGCAGAGGGCAAAAAAAAGATGAAAAAGTACTTCTGGAAGTGGGTTCAGTGGCACATCACAAACTGCCTTCATACCACATTCAACCCACACCACACAGAGTAAAAAGATCCACAGACGGCGGTATAATCACAGTCATTCTTGGTACCAAGTGGGACACCACGGTAATGAATTTTACACCACCTTTGTGGATTAGTCTGAGAATCACCACATGTAGGTATACACAACAAYGTTTCTGCAGCAGCACACACAAACACACTTATTTGTTTTGTGAACCTAGAAGCTGTACAAGAGTGGACTGAACCACAACAACATTAAAAGTTGTTGATGGGGATGYCTTCAGACATTTGCAGGAGGAAGCAAAGAGGAAGGAAGCAAAAGGAAAAAAAATCAATAGCCATAGTTCACGCAGTTTGACTGATGTCATGATTGACAAGGTACTGTTGACAACATTTTGATACAGCATTACTTTAGAAATGGTCATCTATCTYTTTAAAGGTGTGTGCAAATTATTTCTCCTGCCTCTTAGCAAAAGTCTAAAAGCAGTCCCTATTTACACCCTCCCTGGCAGAAATTAAGTTCTATCATTCCAATAAAATSAAAGGATTCTTAAAGAAAACGTGCGACCTTCATCCCGTCTCCATGAACAGCGACTGAGTGGAGGTCAGTGACATCAAGTTCCCAGGTGGGCTCATTGAAGATGACCCTTCCTGAAAGACAAACACAGAAACGCACAAAAACATCTTTGTTCAGCTTTCCGAAGGAACAAGGACATCATTTTATTGAGTTTTTGTTATTGGGTTAATTTTACGCTTTAATTCTGCACCTGGCCATGAGAACTTCCATCTACATTTGTTTAGTCATCATCTCACTCATTCTGTCTTCCTTTTGCCTTTGTATATTGTTAGAGCACTATGTCACCATTGCTTTTCTGAGTTTCAGCACATATTCCGTGTTTGCTTCATTAACAGKAGTTTTTCTTCATTACCACTCTTCCTGGTTACTTGCCTGTACTGTGGTCCATTTACTGTGACAGTCAGAGAAACTACTGTCTTTCTACAGCTGGCATTGTGTTTATCTGCTACATCTCCGCATGATTCACCAACAGTAGATCATCTCTGTCTGCTACTTGTTATTTCACACATTGTGACAGAAAACTGTTAATTGTTGTTATTGACTTGGATCTGTATTTTATTCTGGATATCATTCATTTAATTGACAGAGCTGCAGGTGAAGATGGGAAGCTGGAGRTTTTTATATCAAGGCAACAATATAGTTTATGTATTTCTAAGGATTGATGCAAAATGCAGTAAATACAATAAACTGAGAAAGTGTCAGAGCCCACAAATAAAAAAATAAACATCACATAACTACAAATTAAACTTACTTTAAATCATATGTTTAGGATGTTGTCTTATCTTAAAGATTTTATTTACTTTACGGCTGCATTTTTTAGCACAAGTAAAGAAAACCTGAGTGTGTAAATTATTATAAAAAAATAATATGAAAATATGAGTTCTCACATTACAGTCTGTTATTGCCTGGGCACAATTTAGAAGATAGTTTTTTTTCACCAGAACACTTCACAACGAGAAACCCCATTAGTGGAACACAGCATCTTTTGTGAAATGAAACACTTTCAGTAAAAATTAAACAATAATTTATGAAAATTATATTTTTTCACCAGATCCAGCAGCGCACATACTGTAGTTATTCTTTTTTTTTACTATACATAGTTCTTCTTCCTTTTTTTTACGATTAAAGGTGCTAAACCTAAAACACTTTTAGCACTTCTCCTTTCGTCATGATTACTGTGAGGTAAGCATAAAAGTATAAAATGATAGAGATTTGTTTCTTACCATAAAATAAAACCAGTCAACCTCAAGTCAGAACTTGTTTATTCCAGTTTTATGTAAGCTAAGCAAACAATTGTGTGAACAAATACTGAAAAAAGTTACTATATCCGATATAATTACAGTATGGTTCTAGCTGGATCTGGTCATTACTTCATCTACATCACAAGTTTTTTCCTTGTTTTCAAGGATGGTGCATCAATATATGGTAGTATTTTCAGCTGATTGCTGTTTTCTCATAAGCACATACCTGGCAGAACTTGGTGGATGGATTAAATTTAGTTTAGTTGGTTCATTAATATGGTCATTTGAAAATTCAGGTCTTTGCAGTGCTTGCCCTGCAAAATAGGTGAAATTAAAAATTTCTGCCTAAAATGTATTTAATGTTTTATAAAAAAAAAACTATGTGCAAGAATCTTAAAGAGAAAATAAAAAATGTGCTATGAATTGTTATCAGTTCTGATGCACAGATGAAATTTGTGTTTCGCATTTGACCCATCACATGTAATACACCCAAGGGGAGTTTACATAGCTGCCAGAGAAGCAGTTGGGGACTGGGTGTCTTGGTCAAAGTCACAACATGTGGCCATGGCGGGGAATCAAACCTGTGACTTTCTGCTCCCAAGGCAACTGTCCCACCACTGCACYACAGCCRCCCMCGGTATTTAAATAAAAWTAAAAGCGTTCACATCAGAGGAGTAAAATGTGTTGCTATACCAATAACATTTAGTTTTTATTATTATCCTTATCTGTCTTGCTGCTAACAAAAAACTCATTTCTTGTAAAACAGGACTGTACTCATTTTGTCATAATATTAAAAACAGCTGTTTGCTCAYTATTACTGCAAGCAATKTCCCTCTTTAAATAACTATAAATGRTGCCACAACACTGCTACAATTACAATTCAATTTTTGTGTTGGGCTGAGGCCCCCAGTATTTCTAAAATTTGAGAACGCCTCTGTCAGAGACCCTTTCTGCCCCCAGATATTGTTTGTTTGAACTGCTGCCCCCCGGGAGGCATTTTAGCTCTGTGAAATCACAGACAAACAGACTAAAAACAGCTTCTCCCTTAGAGCCACCACGGGATTTAACTCTGTCAAACCCTAAACAAA